CCTGGGTTCAAATCCCATCCTTTAAAAGGCAGCTTGATAGGGGTCTGGTGGTGCCTATACTCCCAGGCACTCAGAAGACTGAGGCCAGAGGATCAAGAGCTCAAGGCTAGCCTAGACAATTTAATAAGATACTCTCTCAAAATGAAAAATAAAACAAGCACTGGGAATGTCCTTCAGCATAAAGCACCTGCCTAGAATCCCCCAGTGAAGGGGTAGAGCACCTGCCTAAAATCCCCCAGTGAGGGGCTGTGGTGTGGCTCAATGGTAGCGTATCTGCCTAGAATCCGCAAGGCCCTAGTTTCAATCTATAATATCAGGGGAGGGAGGGAGGGAGGGAGGAAACCTTTGTTCCTTTTTTTTTTTAACTTTTATTTTATGTTGTATGATTGTTTTGTCTGCATGTATGTAAATCTGCCCATGCCTGCAATGCCCATGAAGGTCAGAAGACAGTGTCAGGTCTCCTGGAACTGAAGTTAAGACTGGCGGTTAGCCGCCATGTGGGTGCTGGGAACCAAACCCAGGTCCTCTGGAAGAGCAGCCAGGGCTCTTAACTGCTGAGCCAGATCTCCAGCCCTGAAAAATCCTTTGCGCTTGTTTGACAGCTCAAGCTTCTGGGCCTGTTTCTTTTTCCGCAGAATGGGAATAATAATAACCAATCCATAAGGCCATGGTTAAGTCTTAAGTATCTGCAAAATTCTTCGAACAGTGTTCATGCCCCTTGATGTTGGAAATCTTCTATATTCCTATTCAACTGGACTATTTTGCCCCCAAGTTATTGAAAGGAAAGGAAATCCATTCCCCTAGTTCATATTCAGTTGGAAAGTGGGAAGGTTAGAACCTGGAAGTAGGTCTATTTGGACTTTTTTTTTTTTTTTTTTTTTTTGGTCTTTTTGAGACAGGGTCTCCCTGTAGCCCTAGCTGTCCTGGAACTCACTATGTAGAGCAGGCTGGCCTTGAACTCACAGAGATCCACCTGCCTGTGCTGTGATTAAAGGTGTGTGCCACCATGCCTGGCTTGAGTGGGCTTTCAGCCACTGAATCAGAGTGATTCTTCAAGAGAATTTAGTATGAATGGCAACATTTTCCGAATTAATAAGGGAAGAGTCAGAGAGGGTAGGGTATGCCCAAGTCACGTAGCATGTAAAGGACACAACCAGGATTCAAACCCAGGCTCCCGAGTGTCCAAGTTCAGGCCCACCTGTGTTCCAATGCACCCCTACATATGGCACTGTAGAGGCAGGAGGAGAGGGTGGAGCTGCACCACTCCAACTTGTTCTGGGCCTCTAGTAGCCTTGGTCCTGTCCTCTGTCCAGCCTAGGCTAACCATCCCTCTGGAAGCACTAGGGTGACACAGATGAAGGGAAAGGGTTCAGCCCCCTCCACCTGCCTCTGATTGGGGCCCTGCAATCCCCCAGGATTTGGTGCTTGGAAAGCTGACGTTGGGTTGCTATGGTGATAGGTTTGGGGCGGTTGCCATGACAGCAGAACTAGCCTTGGTTTAAAAATATCTAGGAGGAGGTTTGTGTTTGTGTGTGAGTGTGAGTGCGTGACCGACCATGCTGTTGTGTGTGCATCCAAATGGGAGTCTTTGGGAGGGCTGGGTGGAGCTGGGACTCCAGGCATGACTGGGGGAGGGGGGTGCAAAGCACACAGCAATCCATGTGTGTTATGTACTTGTCACTGAGTGGTCCTTGAGGCCCAGTCATTGTGTGCGCCAGACTTTCTGGGTCTTCTAAGTGTGCAAGATATCCAATTTATGTTAATCCATGATCAGGGCTGTTTTTCAGTCTAGGAAGCTCATGTCACTGACATGTATGTGTTATGTAAGAAAGGTTATGTGTTTCTCATGGCTTTGATCATGTACTTCTTGGGGGTGTGAGAGGCCAGTGTGGAATTTTGAGTCTGAATATGCCTACATGGGACATAGTTGGATATTTGATGACACTGCTTTGATATTAAATACACATTTCTTTTCTCTCTCTCTCTCTCTCTCTCTCTCTCTCTCTCTCTCTCCCTCCCTCTCTGTGTGTGTGTCTCAGTAGTCCTCTCCTGTGAGTTTTCCTGAATCAGTGTAAAACTGTGCTGAGCCAGTGAATCCACAGCAGGCCCCATGTGACTCTGTGTATGTTAGGGGGGAACTTCATACAAGCTCCATGGATGTTGGGAGAAGTCACCTGTGTAATGTAAGTCTACAAGACTCCGGGGTCCTAAGGTGTGGATCTCAGTCCAGCCTCACTATCTCCCTGTATCCCTCTTGTCTCTTCTCTGTCTCCATGGCAACCAGCTCCTCAGCTCCCTCCAGGAAGATAGAGGGGGAGGATCCAGACTGCAGTGGACCACAACCCTCTCCCATCCCCCTTGGCTCAAGGGACAATGCGGGGGGGGGGGAGGGGACAGATGGGCAGCCACCCCATCCACCCCAGGCCATCTGCTCCCTCCACTGTCCTGGGGGCCTGAGAGCACAGCATGGGAGAAGCAGGTGGGGTGGAGCAGATCCCAGTGCCACAGACACCCCCTCAGCTGCCACCGTTACCCCTCCCGGACCCCTCTGAGGCTATCTTGCTGCTGGCCAAGTTAGAAAAGAAAGGATCCCTGGAGACCAGGAATCTAGGGAGCAGACAACGCTGTATGAGAGAGAATGCAGACTCTTGCCAGCGATCCACTCCACAGAACAGTGTCTGTCACCAATAGCTTCAGGCTCTAGAATTAGGCTTGTGCTGGGTTAAAATCCCAGCTTTCTTCCTGTCTATCCCTGTGCCCTTGAACAAGCCTTCCTGGGGCCTCCACTCTGTTACCTGAAAACCAAAATTTTCTAATGAATGACCTGAACCATAATACTCTAAAAAGGACCATGATTGTTCTGTTCCCTATGGTGACCCAGGGTCTGGGACGGTGTCTGGCATTCAGTACAACAGCTGAATCCTGTGACTTGTTTTAACTTGATTTCAAATTTATGAACCCCTACAGTAAGCTTATGTCCACTCTTCCTGGGATAGATGGACAATCTGAAGGGGAATTTCCTTATATCAGAGTTTGGTGACATTTAACGGACATTTCTCATTTTGACCAAGTGATATCGGCCCCCAACCCTCTCCATTTATTTCTTTTCTTTCTTTCCTTATTTATTTTGTTTCTTGGTTGTTTTAAGGGGGTGAAGGAAGGAAGCTTATTTTGGTTTTTTTTTTTTTCAACACAAGATCTTACACTGTGTCCCAAGCTGGCCTCATGACAACTCTCCTGCCTTGTCCCATCAAGTACTGGGATTATAAGAGTGAGCTACCACACCTGCCTGAATCACGTCTCTGGGGCTCAGTTTCCTCATCTACAAAATGAGAATAATAAAATACTTCACATCGTTGTTTCTTCTGGGATTAAATGTGAAGTGCTTACTTAGAACCAGTCTTGACACATAGTAAGTGCTCAAGAAACGGATTACAGATGAAAGATAAGGCTGGGCGCAGTGGTGCATGCCTTTAATCCCAACAACAGCAGGCAGATCTCTGTGAGTTCTGGGACAGCCTGGTCTACATAGCAAGTTCCAGGTCACCCAGGACTGAACAGTGAGACCCTGTCTCAAAACAAAACAAAAGCCAACCAACAAACCAACGACAACTTTAAAAAATATATATTTTATTGCCAGACATGGTGGCGTACGCCTTTAGTCCCAGCACTCGGGAGGCAAAGGCAGGCAGATCTCTGTGAGTTCAAGGCCAGCCTGGTCTATGTAGTGAGTTCCAGGACAGCTGGGGCTACAGGGAGACCCTGTCTCAATATTTTTATTTTTTTATGTGTATGCGTGTATTGCCTGCATGTAGGTAAGTACACCCGTGTCGTGCAATGCCCGTGGAGGACAGAAGAGGCTGTGGGATCCCCTGGAACTGGAGTTATGGACAGTTGTTAGCTGCCATGTGGGTGCTGGGATTTGAACCAGGGTGTTCTGCAAGAACAGCCAGTGTTCTTAACTGCTGAGCCATCTCTCCAGCTCCAACTTTTTTTTCAATATATAAAAGAGAAACGATAGTAATGTGCACATCCCTGTAAATCCCAGATCTTGGGAGGTGGAAGCAGGAACATTAGGAGTTCAAGGCTAGCCTGAGATATATAATGAGTTCAAGGCCAGCCCGGACTACATTAGACACTGTCCTCCCATCCTTCCACAAATAAAAAGGGTGAAGGGTGAGGCAGAGAGGCGGAGAGGAGCCCCACAGTCCTTATTAAACCCTGCGGGGGGGGGGGGGGGGGGGCGGGGTGTCAGGTCTCCAGCGCCAAACCATGAAGGGCGTGGCCAATCCAGAGGACCGTGGTCCAGGCTTCAAGGGTGAACCAATTGGGGCGCGGAAGGGCGTGGCCCTGGCCGGCATGGGCGTGACCTTGCTCGGGTGGGAGGGACCAGGACTCTGTGGGAGCCTCCACTGGAGAAGATGCTCGGGCCAGAAGCCACCACCACCACCACCAGCCCTGAATCCGCTGCCGCCCGCGCCCGCCGCCCCCCGGGCCCCCACTAGCGCCGCCTCGGCTTCCCATCACCGGCCCCCCGCCCTGAGCAGGGCCTTGGGAGGGGGGCTCGGCCCTCCGCTACGCTGGGGAGTCCCCCCCTAAGAAAAGGGGCAAGGAGGTCCCGTCCCCTCTGCACCCCCAGTGGCTCAGCCAAGTGCCCGACTTCGGTGATCTTTGAGACAGGAGGACCGCACCCCTCAGTTTCCCAATCCCCAGGACACCCCCCCCCTACTCC